GTGTGTGTGTGTGTGTGTGTGTGTGTGTGTGTGTGTGTGTGGTATCAAATAGCAATTAATGTGTTATGTCATCGCTCTGAGCTATTAAAAGGCTCTGTCATGTTGGGTATGACCTTGAGGTAGGTGTGTGTGTGTGTGAGAGAGAGAGACTCACTGGGAGTATAAGGTGTAGGGTGCAGAGGCCACAGTGCTGATGCGATCTGTGTCACAGGTATCCCTGTGAAGCCTCGGCAGTCATCGGAGGACACCATGGGTGCTATGGGCCCCAGCAAAGGTGTCGCCCAGGGCCTGAACCGCACCGCGGGGGTCCGGAGGTCGTTCAGGAAACCTCCAGAGGTATTTGTGCTCTCTGACTATCGGTGCTCAGACGTCAAGGATAAGAAAATGGAAAAAATGTAATTGGTTTATGATTTCCTCCCACCAGCATCCTGTCGATGACATTGATAAGATGAAGGAGCGAGCTGCTATGAACAACTCCTTCATCTACGTCAAGATTCCACAAGTGCCCCTCTGTGTCAGCTATAAGGTGGGTGTTCTGCTGTTACTGAGCGCTACACTCTTTAATTCAATCCCTCTTCATTTTTATTGATGATAAACTTGAATGGACATAAGACTGAAAAAGATTATTCTCTCTTAACATCTTGATCTTAAAACAGCTACGGTCATCCATACAAAACTAACTCTAATTGTTGGAAATCATAATGTTCATGACTTCCTGGCACTTTATTGGCACTGGATTTTGGCCCTTTTGGTTTTGGAGGAAAACTAAAGATACAATTAAAGTAAATAAGATTTAAGGGTTTCATTCTTCAGTGACGGGGCTAAAAAAAAGGTGTAAAGAATAATTAGAATAAGAGTAGAATAAAAATATAACTCAAAATATATGTTTACAGCTTGTTTCTGATGTCCAAAAGGCCAAAAAATTAAACGTATTGTAGGTTTAATTCCCTTTTTTTGGTTGTTGAACGAATGTTTGGCTCTATTTGAATCCCCCTTATTTAGGGAGAAAAGAGTAGTGTGGACTGGAAGGACCTGAACCTGGTTCTGCCCTGTCTGGAGTACCATAACAATACCTGGACGTGGCTCGACTTTGCAATGGCTGTGAAAAGGGACAGCCGCAAAGCTCTTGTAGCACAGGTACACACCATTTGACTCCTCTCCTTATTAAACGTTCACACACGCACACAAAAATAGTTCTGTTTTTATGAATGTTTTCTAGTATTTGTTGCTCCTCGCTGCTCAGATGATAAAGGAGAAGCTGCGTCTGAAGCCGGCTTCGGGCTCAGAGCTGCGGGGGAAGGCGTCCGAAGGGAAGTCGGACACCAGCCAGCAGCAGCAGGAGGAAGACGAGAAGGCCCGGCTCCTCATCGGCCTCAGCAGCGCCGACAAGAGCTCCAGCAAGAAGAGCATCTTCAGTCGGCGCAAATGAAGCAAGAAGCGCTCGCACGGAGGATCCACAGCAGCAGCTGCCACACTCCCTCGCTACGAGGATCAGGGAAAAACTGCCTCTTCAGCATATCAGTCCGGCTTTGTGGATCAGAGGGGGAAAAAAACTGTTTATGGAGATATCGCACTGTATCATGAGCCTGCTGAACTTAAAGTTATGTTTTTGTTTTTGAAATAATACTCCAAATTTGAGTTTATGGCCACAGGGAACTCAAACAGGTCTCTCTTAAGAATGAGACAGTGTGTCTCAATGAGACTACCTGTGTATAGAAAAAAAGAGCTCCAGGAATTACCGCGCTGCCATTTAGACCAAATGCATATTATTATATTGTTTATCTGTGTGCCATTAATACTTCACTCTGCATTTCATACACCTAATGATGACCACTTGCGTTACATTGGATGTAGCGAGGAGTATTTACAGTGTGTAGCTAGCACTTCACTGTTTCCTCTGCTTCTATTAATGCAAGACTGAGAGCACCTTTTCCTGCTGGCTCAGGAACACCGTGCTTCTGCCTGAATAAATAAGACTCAACTGGAAGCACCTTCAATGCTGTCCGCTGTAATTAAACAAAAAAAAAATTAAATGTCATAAATATGTCATGTTTTACTAATGAAAGGTATTGTAAATGGCTGTATGAGTGTCGCTGTGACAGGAAGGCCTTTTTACCCATAAATGACCACAAGAGATTTTCTATATTCACCTGTAAGTGACTGTGTGCATCCCTCTGCTGTAGCTGTTATACTCTACCTGAACCCAGTGCGATATGTCAAGAGGGCAGCAAAAACATTTCAATGTGTTGTACAACGTCGCACTTGGCTTTGTGGCAACCAGAAAATATGTTGCAGCTAATAACGGAGTGTATGTTTTGTAATTTTATTACTAAAGCACTTTTTATGCAAAGTATTTTGATATTTTTGTAACCGCGTCTGTTTTCTGTTGAGTTTCTTGCCTAACGGTTCTGCTAAGCTTATTGTTTCTGTCACAAGAAGAAGAAAAATCATATTGCAAAAAGAATTCACATTGCAATGCTCTGTGGCTTATTGTTTATCTGTCAATAAAAACAACAGTTGCAGTCTCTCCGTGGTGTTTGGATTCTTGTGCGCAATAGTAACTTTGTGAACAGAGGGGTCGTCGATCATTCATCTGACAGCCTGAACTGGAGCGGAATCGAGCTCCGCGGGACTCTGCAGACACGCGGGCAACAAGCGCTCTCCTCTCTCTCTCACACACACACACACACACACACGAGCGCGTGGACCAGAGACGCTGTGATGATGGCCGAGACGGAAACAGAAAAAAGCACGCGAGAGGAAGAGCTGAATGTTTGCCTCTTATTCTTACATTTTGTTGTGTGAAATACTTTTGTCTTCTGTATGGGCTGCGACATCAGTAAAACGAGTGAGGTGAGTCGATCAGATTTGATTTACATGCTGAGATGTGGTTGATGAGCTGGTTAAGCTATTACAGCATACGGAGAAGATGTTTGCTACCACAGTGACAGAATACTGAACTTGTGAGTTGGATGTTTTCTGGAGAATGTATAGAACAATCTTTCCCTGCGTTTTTAGAAATAAACTATGGAAAAAAATCTGTCCATTCAACGTGTTTTTTTTAGATTTTTAAATGCAACACACTGCGCCGGATCGAAGTGGAGTCTTGTCAGAAATAGAGGTATTGATTAGTTAAGTGATCACTGACCTTCCTCTCCACCAGCTGCATTAAGGGGTCAATAGAAGCTTGCTTTGGTTTTGTGGAGCGCTGATTGAAATGGCTGCAGCTGATTCAATCAGCTTCATGTATCACACGTTGTCTTTTTACTCATGCACAGTTTTAAGACAAAATATGAAGCTTCTGCAGTTTTATTATCTATTCTCTATTCATGCAGCCTATTTTTGAAAGTATAGAAAAAAAAAAGACACCATAGGTAAAGTCGTATTTTTGTTATTAGATTTTTGAACAAAACTGCAGAGGCTAGAAATTATAATTATAGAGTAAATTGATGATTATAAATGATATTGGCCGAGGCAACATGGATGTATCTTATGAAATCATCCCTGTAAACGGTGGTGAAATAAATACTTGTAAAGAAAAGTATTCAATTACAAGTTAAAGTTCTGCTTTGAAAAGAAGAAGTGTATCAGCAAAAAGTCCTTCAAGTATAAAGATGGCCCTTTTCAGTTATAATCACGTTTCAGGCTTTATTAAACTATACTGTTAGACATGTCCTTCTGCAGTAAATTACCACGATCATTTGTTTTCAGTACATTTACTGTTATGATGTTTTATGATAGGCCTAAAACAGCTTTACCGTGATTGTGCTTTACATCATAACTGCTCTCCAGTAATTGTGGTTTACAATATGATTCTGTAAATATGTTTTGGAACATGATACTGTTTTTGTGTTTTACTGTACTATACTGTAAATATGTTCTGGAGTATATTGTAATTTTAACAGTCTACTTACATGCATTAACATATAAGCAGCATCGTAGCTGATTTGGGTTTTAGGTAATTTAATCTTTAACGCTGCATCTTTTTTGTGTGAAATTAATAAAAGAGTAGGAATTTCCCTCTAAAATTAGTATGAAGTAGCATAAAAATTAAACTACTTGGGGATATTTTCTAAATTACATTCAGCCCCTGATCACAATAAAAATAATAAAATAAAAATGTTATTATCTAGAGAGAAGGACCACCTGCTCAGCGTCGACTCAGTCATGGGTTCCTCTCAAACATGAGGGTCTCCATCAATCACAGACTCGCACACTCGGCTGTGTTTTCTCGGCCCGTGGGACCGGACGGCAGGCCGCCCGTCCCCAAACTCCTCCTGCCTCCGGAGGACGCAAAGACGACTCCTCCAGCTTTCATCTCTGCCTTTCTGCCGGAGTTCCCACAGCGTAAACTTCCTGGACGAGACCATTTCCAGGTACCACAAACACAAGAGTGCTCAACAGAATTAACAGTAGCAGATAGTGGAAACATTCATTTAACAGTGCTCCTATGCTCACAGATCCTGGGCTTCATAGCCAAAGGCTCATATGGACCCATCTTGAAAGTGAAGGACATTTTCAAAGAGAAGACCTACGCTGTTAAGGTTAGTTCAGCTGTAATAATCAGTGCTATAACAATATTATATAAAATACATTTTTGTGTCATCGTTTTCATTGTTGCACAGGTTCTACCAAAGTCAGATATCTTGAAGCATGGAACGCTGGAGCAGTCAAAAGAAGAAGTCATCATTCAGGTATGTTTTTGGAAGAAAGTGCCAGTCGGTAGAAGTACTGTATCTTTACTGTTCTTATATACTTACATTAGACCTGCAACCATTAGCTGATTCATTCATTGACAGAACTATTTTGATGATCAGTTTATCATTTTTCAAGTAAAAATGCCAAATATGTGCTGGCAAATATAAGGATACGCTGCTTGTTTTGGTTGTAAATTATTCTTTTTTTGTTGGTTGGTTAAAACAATCAATCTAAGGACATTACTTTGGACTGTGGGGAGTCCTGATGGCTGTTGCTTCAGAACGTTTTGACATTTCTCAGACTAAGAAATTAATCTATGAATCAAAAAAATGATCCGCCCTACCTCTTTACTTAAGTAGAAGTTATTACTCAACAGAAAAATCTTATTAAAATATAAATCAATACAGCTACTCGGTATATGAGTTAGACGGGATATCGCTGCTAAAAGTGATGTTTTACTTGCAGTTAAAAAAAGAGGAAAATGTTTGAATGATGTCTGAATAATTCAGTATTTTTCCATCCTAACTCTTTTATACGGTACATTATCTGTAATGTAGGATCATCTCTCACTGTTAAATTCACTCTCACTCTGTGTGTGTGTGTGTGTGTGTCGACTGTTGAATTGCAGCGGCAGCTCAAACACCCATTCATCCACAATCTGCAGGACTGCTGGCAGACGCAGCACCATCTCTTCATTAGTGAGTCGATGAGCGTAAACGAAGGCACGGTTCAACCCCTCAACCTTCTACTACCCTGTCCTTCGTTATGTGCCCCCTCCTCCCATTCTGCTCCAATAGAACATGAAACATGTTACGTTGTTGTACCACTGTGCTGCATCCCTGAGTCTGAATACAAATGTCAGGGCTGGATGTTGAAGAGGTACGCTGCCATCTAATAAGAGTGCTGGGTAAAGCTGCACTGCCTGCATGACTTTTCCAGTTTATACCAACCCTGATCAAACATTGATTTCTATGCATCCAAAGTGGTATTAAATGATGTAACTCAGCTAACAGGAGACTGAGAAGACGGATGCATGTATGGTTCTGACGTGACTCGTATCCTTACTTCTTCCTTTTCCTACAGAACAACAGTGTGACGAGCGAAATGTTCTATTTCTTCTTCTCATTTCTGATATTTCATTTGCCGCTTGCAAAGACATAACAAGTGTCTGTGTGTGTGTGTGTGTGTGTGTGTGTGTGTGTGTGTGTGTGTGTGTGTATCGTCCTCTGCAGTGTGCGACTACTGCAGCACCGGAGACTTGTACACTTACTGGTTACTGAAGGGCCAGTTTGGGGAGGATGAGGTCCGGCTCTTTGCTGCAGAGCTGGGCAGTGCGCTGGGTAGGTGTTCGTATGCAGTCTTTGACCATTAAGAGTTCATCATATAGACCTTTAGCATTGACCTGTATTGACATCATGCTTCAGGTAAAAGGGTATTTTAAACACGGAGCATCTTGTATTTATGTTGCGTATTCTCATTTTATCTCTTTTGTTTGCTATTATTTTTAGGATTTCTTCATGACTTGGGCATCGTGCATAGAGATATAAAGGTATGATTTATTTTATTTGTGATGTATTTTATCCATATTTGTATTTTTGACTTTCTGTGATAATAATTGTACTTTGTTTTTCAGATGGAGAACATTCTTTTAAGTGATCAAGGTAATGCGTGTCCATATTTTATTACTTTTGGCCTGTAAAATCATGAGGGTAGTACTTTTTTAATCCTCAGAGGAGAAACTCGTTTCATGCAGACTGACAAATAACAAAAGAGACACAAACTAGACGGGTCACAGCGGACAACACGAGAGACTTCAGTTTCAGCGTGTATTTTCAATGATTCAGGTCACCTCCGCCTGTCTGATTTTGGACTTTCCCGGCGGCTGAAACGAGGAGGAAGAGCGTTTACGATATGTGGGACGATCCAATACATGGGTGAGATTTGGGTTTCATTTCATTTCACTTGGAGGGAAACATAGCGGCTGTTTGAGGTACGGTATGCTGCATATTGGTTGACTGCATTAGAGCGATATTTGAGCCGCACCTGCGTTTTGCTCCCTTTGGATTCAGATGACCCAGTTATGAATCAAGCACCTGTGATGGACTTTTTGTTTTGTTTTTTGCTCCAGTGTGCTGCAATCTCTGTTGCATATCTGTTTGATTACACCTTTTCATCTTTTCATCTATCATCTTTGAGGGTTTTTATCATAATTGTTTTCCTGTTTTGTCTACAAAGCTCCTGAAGTTTTAAGTGGGGGTCCGTACAACCACGCTGCTGACTGGTGGTCTTTTGGCATTATGTTGTTCTCACTGGTGACGGGAGAGGTGAGGGCACATACATGTAATACTACTGTAGCTCTACACGTGGTACTGTGTTAACTGTCTTGACTGTTTTTACTTTTCCACTTTGCAGTTTCCGTTACCAGCAGAGCCGGACCACAGCACTATGTTGAACAAGGTCACAGACTTCCCTTATGTCCTACCTGAGACCGTCCGCTCTTCTCTGATCTTACTGCTCTCTGAGGTTTGTAAATGCGATTCTCCTCTCTCAAACATGCACACTGTGATCCCTCTGAATGAAATATCACATCCTCTTTGCAGCTTTTGTGCAAGAATCCAGTGAACCGGCTTCGTAACCTGGAGTGTTTCAAGATGCAGGCTTTCTTTCGGGGCACTTCATTTGATTCTCTCATCCTCCAAAAGATGCCTGTTGACGTCATCCTGGAACTCAGGACTCAACCTGATTGGGAAGCCAAAGCAATGAGAGGCCTTTCATTGGACTACTTTGACAGCTTTGACTGCGATAAAATCCTTTATTCTCCTACAACTCCCGCTGAACTGTCTCCTACATTGACCAACATGGACCTGAGCCCGGCTACGGAGCAGAATTGTAAAGCACAAGACTGAAATATGTTTATGAAGAAGCTGATTGGAAATGAGAAATATTTCTCTGCTAGACGTGTCACGTCTTAGACTTGCTTTTATATTTTTACTGATCATTTTTTATTGCTGTCAGTATATAAGAAGCACAGTTGTGGGATACCTTTTCAGTTATTAGCATTATTGTTTGTTTATTTACAGTATTGTAGTTCTATGAAATCATTTGGAGGTTTATCCTCAAAATGTAAACTTTTGTAAGCAACATTTTGTCCTCCTTGGTACAGTTGAGATCTATGAGCCGTATGCATCTTTGATTTCTCTGCTCTCTTGTCAAGGTCAAGGTATATGAGTTTCATTGTACACTTCACACTTCTTCACTGAGTTTAGTTAAATTTAATTTCTATCTTCATATAAGCGCGAATCGTGTTTTACTGTACAAATCATCAAAATCCAACGTATATTATTATTTCTCTTGTACTGGAACATTCTTACAACATTTCCTTACCCTTATGTTAAAGAACATTAGTTTGACTGTTGACTGATATAGTGTACATGTATGTGACCAGTACATCTATGTGACTACCTGCTGTCATGTGACCAAAGTTCCAAACAGTGAGTCGCATGAGGGCAACTGAGCCATCATGACAGGTGGGCAAAACTCCATCTGCTGAGGAAGATGCAGTTTTTCATTGAAACTATAAAAATAAAATATACATGTCCTTTGCAGTTGACAAATCAATCTTGACTCGAGGTCCACTCTGTGTTCAAATTTCCATTTTTCTCCGAACACTTTTAGAGTTCTTGTCCATGTGGTCTTAAAATTGACATCAAAGGTTTAGAAACTTTAGAAACATCAGTAAACAAAACAATATCAACACAAAGTCTATTTATTTTCTTTCAGTCTCAACTTTAAAGTGATAGAAGGTCCTTACAATTCTTATGTGAGCCTGGACAATTTCATGACAACTTTTGCGGAAGATTATCATTTGTTAAAGTTTTTTGGTGGGAGTTTTTCCTTACCCAGATCAAGGGTCTAAGGACAGAGGATGTTGTATGCTGCACAGATTGTAAAGTCCCTTGAGGCAAATTCGTGATATTGGGCTATAGAAATAAAATAAAATCGATAAGATTGTGCAATATGGTGGACACCTATCACCTACATCACCTATTGAGCTGACGTTGTGTTGAGATTGTTTGCTCAAGAATAAACCTTTCAGTCTCAAAGTCAGTTGCAAATTAGATACAGAAGTTGGATTGCACTGAGAAGGTGCAGTTCGCATGACAACTTGTCACTTCCTGCAGACATTCTCTGAGAAAAGTTACATAAAGTCTAATTTAAAAGAATATGGGCAAGAGTATAAACATAATATTAAGGCCTTCTCTTTATTCATGTATAGAGAATCACCCTTAACCTTCATCCATCAAACTTAAGAATACCAATAACCTCCTGTCAGTGGTCTATTTTAACTGTTACTGTAGGATCAGTGACACCAGCGTTAAGTTGTCCTCCTGTGGTATTAGCTGTTTGACACTTGGGTAAAACATACCACGTGTCTGATTCTAAACCAGTTATCCTATTAATGTCGTACCTGGATACATTGTGGCCAACTTTCAGCCTTGGCTCGATCTATTTAGAGGAGCACTCACAAACCCATTGAGGACAACCTTAATAGGACAGATAATTGAGGACCAGATAAAGTATCATCATTAAATGTTTTTAATTAGGTAAAAATCCAGAGCCCCGGAGGAGACAGCCACGTATAATTGCTGTACTTCCCGCAGTCATGTACCTATTTAAATCTGTATCTTCCTGAAAGGGAGTGCACCGGCTCCTCCTCCCACTGCCTCCTGACATCGAATTCCCTCTCAGGCCCTTGTCTTAGACGGGTCCACCATGTCTGTGTTATGGCTGTATAGTGGCAGGCAGTCCAGTGACCCATATCTAGTTTCTGAGGCACACTGACCCACAATAATGAAGAGAGGAGTCCCCTGAAATGCAGGCGAGCCGTCCCACTGAGTCAAACTAAATGCCTACACCTTGTAGCAGAACACACAACAGAAAACATGCAGTTTCCTGAGCTTACACTGCAACGATGCAGACAATCATAATTCATGTAAATGTAATCACAACATTTTAGTTTCTCTGTGTTGGCATTTTTAAACAAACATTGTCTGATACAGTATAAAATGACCGGCTTCTAACTTTGTGAGCCGATGTAACACGTGTGACAAATCGAGGGGGGAAAACGTAGAAAATTCCTTCCATCAAAATGGAAATGATGTAGTTGACCTCATTTTGGTCTAATTTGGGTCATATCACCATGTTCATTTACATTGACTGGAACCTGAAAATGATTTCTATTTCGGAAGCCGGTCCATCTCATTCTTTACAGTTTAAAGCTCACAGAAGAAGTTACAGAGTGCACGGATTGCTCTGAGACTGAAACACCCCTGAGAATTCGAGGATGAAGACCAAATTATCAGGAGACTTGAAACCTTCCTCTGGGCACATTTTTACTAATTAGAATAAAAATAGCACATCGTGGGGTATGGTTAAACGCTTAAATTAGCTAGCTATAGGGGAGGAGGGTCTGACAGAATACATTGTTTTACAATCAGCCAACATGGGTGAGTTGACATAGTTAAAACACTACAGTATGTTTAGGAAACTCATAAATAATCGTAGATATATACGCCATCAATGTAAGCACTAGATTGAGATGGAGTGACTGAAGAAATGCTAAAGCAGCCGTATCAGCATAAAAAGCAATAATCTGCAAGGATGGAGAAAAAAAAACGTCTTTATTTAAGTAGAACAATGATTCATCAAAAATGTTCTAATTTATATGGGGCAGAGGCGGGTGTACAGGCGCCGCCCAGGGGTGTCGGCTTATGAGGTGTGACACACTTGAGCTGGATACAAACCAGAGCTGACTGAGAGTCTCCAGTTAGTGTTCATCACATCAGTGGACAAGACACGTTTGATTTCTGTCAGGTAAGAACTTGCTCATCTCTCTTTTTTTAAATGTAGGGTTCTATCACTGACTTCAGTGAGTAAATCTCTTTGCACCGCTTCAAGCTGTTGACCGGAAACTTGCAGTTGTTAGAAAGTTGGTGTAAATTGCAAGGGGGCTGATTGGGAATATTTAAAGTTATACCCGGTTTACTGATAACTGATATGTTTTTACTTGCAGCAACTCTGAACTCCACTTCATCTTATACACCATAAAAAATGATTTAGCCTATTTTACATTTGAACTTTGAATGCCTCTGTTGTATTTGTTTCTGACCTCTTTAGTCTTTTTCTTGTGTTATTCTAACATGTGAATTTACATCTAGGGATCAAAAAAGACAACATTCACTATCTTATTTTGGTGAGTGGTTTAGTTCATTTGATGTACATTCATAAGATGTTAATGTATTCCATCTTTTCTTTTGATTATCAAGTAACTGTGCACTCAAAGTTTACCCAGACATTAGTTTCCACATTTTTAAAACATCGTCTCTAGAAGCTGTTACTTCAGCAGGTTCAGCACTCATTAAAACCCAGTTGAGAAAACACCAATAAGAACTGTTATCTCAATATCATACATCCTTAACTGGCTCTACTCCTTTTGAGAAGCACAGAGGGAGAAACAAATGTGGATGAACCTTTAGACATTTTCTGTCTTAACAAACTTCACGGATGGGTGATATTTGTCATTGTTTGGTCATTAATGTGTGAATAATACAATCACATCAGGCTGTAGGGCAATCAGTCACTCGGGATGACGCACCAGTCCCCCACACTCTCCGAGGCGCAGAAGAGGGAGCTACATGAGACTGCTCTACGCATAGTTTCTCCGGGGAAGGGCATCCTGGCTGCAGATGAATCTGTGGGTCTGTAGCACTCTTTCTTTTCTTTCAACTGTAGAAAACATGCATGCCATTAATGTTGCAGTCTGACAATCACACAAAAGTCCAAGACCATCCAGGCCAAAGAGCACACATGTATATGGATATTAACATCTAATATGTTATCTGCAGGCAGCATGGCTAAGCGCCTGGCCCAGGTCGGGGTGGAGAACACAGAGGAGAACCGCAGACAGTACCGGCAGATTCTCTTCAGTGCAGACGATCGCATCAACGGCTGCATTGGAGGGGTCATCTTCTTCCATGAGACGCTGTACCAGCACTCTGATAACAGCGTTCCCTTTGTCAAAATGATCAGGGAAAGGGGCATCATGGTCGGCATCAAGGTGTGGCGGTTTAGTTCCGAATAATATAAATGTGGAGTGTCAAATTGTACCTACCCTTGTGGGAATAGGTTGAATATCTGATCGAATATGTATCATCATGGCAATGCATCCTGATTATCAGTCGTTTCTGTATATGAGAATTCAACATCACGTCTTTATGCCTTATTCCTCAGGTTGACAAGGGTGTCGTCCCCCTGGCAGGAACTTGCGGAGAAACCACCACACAGGGTCAGACAACAAAATACTATGGTTTGCTGCTGATATCACTCACAAGCCCCCAGAGGAATGCATATTACAAGACAAACTATCACTCCATTGTAAACCTCACAGGTCTGGATGGATTGTCAGAGCGCTGTGCGCAGTACAAAAAGGATGGAGCTGTCTTTGCAAAGTGCCGCTGTGTGCTTAAAATCAGTGACGCCAATCCGTCTCAACTGGCTATCGCAGAAAATGCAAATGTTCTTGCGCGCTACTCCAGCATCTGCCAGCAGGTCAGAACCCAACAGTGTAAACCAATGTCTATACATGTTTATGATGCATCTGTGTTGGTCTGATAGTCTTTCCTTTTCTCGGCCAGCACGGCATTGTGCCCATCATAGAGCCGGAGATTTTGCCTGATGGAGATCATGACCTGAAACGCAGCCAGTACATCACTGAGAAGGTGGCTTTCTACCTCTTACATACTGCATGTGCATGGGGTGTGTGACGGTGTTACTACAAGAGAGGAAGGGAAGTACCTGTCTGCTGTCCCTTTGGTGAAACAATGTGTGTATTGCAGGTCCTGACTGCGGTGTACAAGGCCATGTCGGACCACCATGTGTACCTGGAAGGCACTCTCCTCAAACCCAACATGGTCACGGCTGGACACAGCTGCTCCACCAAGTACAGCCCAGAGGAGGTTGCGATGGCAACTGTCACCGCCTTGCGCCGCACTGTCCCCCCAGCGGTCACAGGTGACCTAGACCCAGAGTGCTGTCGTGTGGAGAGGATTTTACAGAGATATGTTTGGAGTTTGCAGCAACAAAATGAAAGTAAAACCAGATTCTTTTGTTCACACACACAGGAGTGGCTTTTCTCTCGGGCGGTCAGAGTGAAGAAGAAGCCTCTGTCCACCTCAATGCCATCAACAACTGCCCTCTGGCCAAACCCTGGATCCTAACGTTCTCCTTCGGCCGAGCCCTGCAGGCGTCTGCACTCAGAGCCTGGAGAGGACACAAAGAGAACGAGAAAGCCGCCACTGAGCAGTTCATCAAGAGAGCAGAGGTATACCTCCGCCTCTTGTTTCCTGCAGATCCTCATCCCTAACTTGACCACTAACCAGTGTTTGTTTCCTATTCGGTGTTTATTTGCTTGTTTAATGACTTCTCTGTCCGCAGGCGAACAGTCTGGCATGTCAGGGGAAGTACACCGGTGGTGATAACTATGGCGAGTCTGGCCAGCGCAGCTATGGCTCCTGTCATGCATACTGAGTATTTTGAGAAGCCATGTTTCCATAAGCATTGTGTCGTCTTCCAGCACCATAACAAAGAGGAACTGTGATGTAGCTAATTAGGTTATTTCAGGCCTCTCATGATGATGTTACATAAAAAACAAGTGACAGCGTGTTTTCTTGTCTTGACAAATGAGGACAATCAGTGCATGGCCTTGGATATATTTCTAATGCATGTATTCGGGATGTTTGCTTTGCTGTTGTTATGGATGTACATGCTCTTCTGACAGTGCCATTGCTAAAGCTTTAAAATCTCGCATTTATTACTTAGTATCATAAATACTGTCGAGCCATTTGCTGTTAGTAAATTGGATATTGGCTGCTGAGCAATGATGTTAGTTTGTATTAAAAATAGTGAAAATTACTGAATTTCTGACGTACAATTTCCCAGTGACGTGGAAATATCTTCAAGATGTGCAAAACGTCTCTGTCTACCATGTGTATGTACTTTAACTCTGTTAGTGACGATGCACAATTAGAATTATTGCACCCGAACTAATTGCAAGCTAATGTGTCTCTGCAGTGCGCAGGTAGAAAGTATCCACATAGCAGAGATCTATAACACAATGTGATTTTATTGCATGTTGTCATTCTGAATTGTTCTAATAGTCTGATGAACATAGTTCAAATGTAAGCATTCGAGCAATAAAACAGTGTTCAGGTTCAGTCTGGTGTGGGTGTTTTGTTTTATGTTAGTCAAAGGTTATGTGACTGACAATAGGCCAAATAGTAAATCACATGTCGTAGTGTGAACTGTTGTGTTTCCTATACAAGACTCAACAAAGAGACAGTTAGGTAACATATGTCCCATAGTTATACTTCTTTAGTCCTCTTGATATAAAAGATATCAGATAAGATAAGTCATAACTTTTTACCCAGGGAAATTCTTTTGCAGCAGTTGGAGTACCAAGTAGGACAGAGTGCAAATATGAAACATCATTACATTGGCAAATATATAAATATCAAAAAACAGATATGGGAAATCCATACAATACAAAATGTACAATATGCGAGGTCAAATTTTAAGTACAGGTATAAGTGCATATGGTTCATTCAAAACGTTGAATGATAATGTCCATGATATTGCACATTATGTCCCAAAAACCAAGCGGCTGTAATGACTGTAATCTCTGGAGACAAAGTAAGGGAGAGGGAGAAGGAGAGGGAGAGAGAGAGAGAGAGAGAGAGAGAGAGAGAGAGACTAAACAAACAAAGCAGAACAGAGCAGAGAAAAATAAACAAGGTCCTTGCATCTATTCCTCCTCTAACACACAATGAAAAAATGACCACGTGATCTCGTAATTATTTCTCATATCTGAGGGATGTAAAATAAGAATACATGCAGTATGATTCACAGCAAACTGGACTTTACCTCTTGGTTCCTCCCTCAAAATGAGTTTCCCCTCTTACTCTTAGGAAACAAAACTTAAAATGCGGATATGATGAGACAGTTTTTGCATTTCAATCTCATAGTCTGTAAAGTCTTAACACCATCAAAGCTGTCTTGGCTGTTTTGGCATCTTTTGTAAAGTGACTCAATCAATTTACCATTTAACATGTTTAGTATGAAACAATAAGTTAAGAATAAGACAGCCAGTACACCTATTGTGATAAAGGGGTGTATACATTTACAATAATTGTTGATTTGCACTCCACATCAGGAGAAATCTAACAATTTAAATAAACGTCACATGCATGATTATGATGCTATTGAACGGTTTCGGCTGATATGCTAATATAACATTATGCATGTAAGATTATAGGTATTTGCATTATCTTTGTAGCAACCCAGAGGGAGTTTTCTACTTCATATAAAACTTTTCTTTGTCCGGCTGATCACATAAAGTGTAATTAAGGTTAGCATCAGATTGAAAAAAAAGGTATATTGTATTGGATTTACTTCTTACCACTTATTACCAATTATTTCACAGAACAGTAGATTATCATAAGAGTTGCATGAGCCAAGTCAAAATATGTAATTAATAATTGCATGTAGGCTACATATGCAGAACAGGTAGGCTTATACTTTTCTTTCAATCTGTCTACCACCATCCTTCTATTAGTTACATGTTGTTTCGTTACTGTAAAATAAACGATTGGTGGTCGTCACTACGCCTGATCCTTTTCGCGGACTATTTCGTAAGGCGGATGTGTCCGCGCTGTCTGCGGTGTTTCCGGTATTCATGAAAGCTTCTGTAAAGGAGCGCGAGTCCTGAGGAGAAAACAGGAGTAGTGGGCGCCTCATTGAAAGTACTGTCGCCCCACTTAAATACCCTTCAGGTTGCAGAGTGAAACTGCGCTTTTGATTGCTTTCTCCTCTCTGCTCTGCACACTTGTGAGTGGCTGGAGTCTGATCTCCGTGTGGCTCCGCCGACCCTGCAGGATCTCTTGCTAACGAACCGTTAGGTTGAGTAGCGAGCTATCTTGCGCTGCGATGTCGGGTGTTGTGCGAGGCCCAGCTGGGAACAACGACTGCAGGATTTACGTGGGAAACCTCCCTCCCGACATTCGCACAAAAGACGTGGAAGACGTGTTCTACAAATACGGGACGATTCGAGATATCGACCTGAAGAACCGGAGGGGCGGGCCGCCTTTCGCCTTCATTGAGTTCGAGGACCCCAGGTAAGCTGCTGATAAGGCCAGCCCCGTTGTGTGGCTGACACACTCGTGTGCTAACGCGGGCTCAGACTATTCCCTGGACTCACTGGTACTGTACCATGTACCTGACGTGGTGTGTGCTGTCCCGGTTTCCACTGTGTTTCTAATCGAGGTCCGACGTTTGCTCACGCGCCCGAAACACTTCGCTAGTGCCCGTGTTTGCACTGCGTCCTTAACGATATGTCAATACAGTTAACAATACAACAAACACTTTGCATTGGTCCTGGCTGCTAGGTTAGTCGATGCACTCATACATTTACGCTACGCTTCATGGAGTAATATTTAACGTGGGGTACTTTTTTTTTTTTTCTTAGCGAACGAATAACAAATGACATTGTGTTTTGTCTTAGCACAAATGGAGGCAAAATGACTGTGTTGCCGTGCACGTCTGCACGGCGGATTAGCAACCGTAAACTGGACCCAGCTAACGTTAGCCGCTAGCATGGCTGACCCCGTCTAAGTATGTGTGTCAAACTTAACTGTCCGCCCTCCGTGCGTGTTGTGTTTGAACTGGACCGTCTCGTTATCAGGGACGCTGATGACGCGGTCTATGGGCGAGACGGTTACGACTATGACGGCTACCGGCTGCGCGTGGAGTTTCCTCGGAGTGGCAGGGGCTCGAGAGGCGGCTTCAGTGGGATCGGTGGAGCTCCCAGAGGAAGATACGGGCCTCCGTCCAGACGCTCCGAGTACAGGGTCATAGTGTCGGGTAAGTAGTCCTTTAAATGGCTCATATACGGAGAAGTCATTCTAGTCTATCCGCTGTCTGAACGGCAGTTTGCTGAATGCCTCTTAGTTGAACGTAGGAGTCGAAGAGTCGGCCTTGTTTGAAGTGTGAGAGGTTGGATCCCAACAAACTTTTGCTAAAAGTTGAGCTCCAGTTTGTTAGATGTGTTAAAGTCATCTGTATTAATTTGGTGCATGTATTGTTAAGCAATGGATTAGGCGTGTTGTTAATGCAGGGAGGCAGTTGTAAAGCGATGGGATATTCCCTGTGTGGTAATTGCTGTCTGTATTTATTATGCTGTCATGATACCAGAGGTGTGACTCTGATATGCTACCTGTCTGTAATATCTCGATACTGAAACGATCCCACGACTTAAACCTAGAACACCAGGAAAGGTCGACGCAAGACCACGGAGGGTGTGAAAAGTCAGGACTGATGTGTTGTACCATAATAATAATGTTCGTACATTATTATTTCCTCTTAATTTATATCAGCTATACGTTTACATCCCTCCACCCTCACATGTTACATGTCAGCCAATAATGAGTGAAATCCTTGCAGAATTGTACGCTGTTCTGTCAAGTTGCTTCTTAGCGAAATGCTCTAAATGAAGTTAAGAACCCTCATAAGCAGCGATGCAATATTCATGTCTAGGGCTTTTATTGTGAAAGGTAAGAATGGAAAGCTGTAATGCACCTCCGCTGCTGTTGACTTGGTGTGAGCAGTGATGAGTTTCCCGTGTTATTATTGAATTACCTTCATAAATAAAGGCGCAAATTGAAACCCTCGGCTACAGTACTTAATGTGCCATATTTCGCTCTGTGAGTCTACTTTGATGACAAGCTGTGAGCGTCTGGCAAGAACGTTTATATTTGTAAAAAAACAGAAGTACGCCAGCAGCAAGTGGAAGCAGAGCTCCGCTGTTGCACATTGACGATACTAATGAAATGTGATGTTGTACGGTTTAAACGATGGGTTATTGATGTATTCATCTAGTTTCAGTATACTGTGCAGCACCGACGGTACCACTGAAAATGTAAACCAACGTGTCCTCGCATTCTGTTGTGACCGTAAAGCTAAATTGATAATCTCCACAATGTCAGGCTTGTTAATATGTTTTGTAGACCAGGACAATGCACATTGATCAACATAAACAAATAACATGTACAGTAGACGAGCAACATATGCCGCATAGTTAACTCTCTCAGAGCCCTTTTTCTACAGCGATCTCGCTGAACTGCTGTTAAGATGAGCCCTCATTACACCGGCTTTGCTTTGTTACACTGAACCAAACAAATCCGGCATAATGCTGCTCCAGTTGGGATTTCAGATAGTATGGCGGCATGAAGTGTAAAGTTGTTTTTGTAACTTGGCCTTGCATGCGCCATCAATGCCCTTTATTCCGTGTCCGCACCGTTTTCATACAGAACAGCGAGGCAGAGTAACGACGCAGCATTCCGGCCTTGAACACACTTGTAAAAAGTGCTTTAGAGACACAACTCGGCTCTGGTGAAGCCGTTTCAGTGATGTTGAGAAATTGTGTCGTGTGTTGCATTGGCTGATCGGGCTTTATAGAGATCCCCAATACAGCTGTTTTAGAGGCTGATTGCACCCGTGGTAAATGCACCAGGAAGGTTCATTTTCATCTGTTGTCTTTGGCCAAACAGTGTGAAGGCAAATGGAATAAAAATGACATATTATACATCTAAATCTAAAATGTCTCGAGTTTCAACCTGTTATTAACTGCATATTAACATGTCTTCTTTCAACTACAGTTGGTCTCAATTGAATGAATTGAAATGCTGATGCGTCACTAAATCCTGCAGCTTCTGTTCGGGGGAAACAAATAAGTTGTGTAATTCTAACATGTTGAACTTTTCGCACACAAACCGAGCTGGGCAGTTCACCATGCGTCAGCTGATGTAGCTTTGGATAACGTTTCAGGACTCCCTCAGAGCGGCAGCTGGCAGGACCTGAAGGACCACATGCGTGAAGCGGGCGACGTGTGCTACGCCGACGTTTTCAGAGACGGAACCGGGGTTGTAGAGTTTGTGCGCAAAGAAGACATGACCTATGCCGTTCGAAAGCTGGACAACACCAAATTCCGCTCCCATGAGGTATGTGTACTGATTTGGTTCATTCTCATGGACAGTGTTTCTTTGCCGTGTCCAGGTGAGTACGTCAAGACATGCTACACCGTTTGAAGCACCACCTGGCCCTCATTTCCATCTATGGTTTTTCCCCACCATAGGCCGGAGTGTTGCCTTTTCAATGTCAAGTTCTCTTGTGTCCGCCAGGGAGAGACTGCTTACGTTGGTGTGAAATTAGACGGTCCCCGCAGCCCAAGTTACGGAAGATCACGCTCCCGCAGCCGTGGCAGTCGGAGCAGGAGCCGCAGTCGCAGCGCCAGCCGCAGCCGCAGCAACTCCCGAGGCCGAGGATCGCCCCACTACTCGCCTCGTCACAGCCGCTCTCGCTCCCGTTCTTAAACCTTTCTATCACCGAAGTTTTGACCCTTTTCTGATGTATACCCTCCTGTTTTACCTCCTTCTGAGTTTCTCCAGATGTCTTGCATTTCATGTCCCGATGTCCTTGTGGATGATCTTGGTATGTGGATGTACCCTCCTCCTCCTCCTCCTCCTCCTCTTTCACCCTCTCCCCCACCCTCTCCAGCTGCTTTTGTCCTTTTTGTTTTCTCCTCCTCTCTCTGTCCTCTCAGTTTTTGCAACATGAGGAATTGTGCTGTGTGGAACTTCAAAAACGTTGAGTTGTTATAAGCTGCACTCAATGTCTTTGCAAGTATTGACAATTGAGTTTTGTTTTTTCAAAACCACACAGAGCTTCTCTCATTGGATATGTGGGGTGGGCTGGTCGGACAGGGAGCCCGATGCTTAACTGTACTTTACCCTTGTGTCTTCCTCTTAGACATCTGAAGAGAAGGATTAAAGTGATTTGGAATAAAACCATTGTGGAGCACATGTCATTTGTATGGTCAGGATAGGACATCTAATTGAGGAGCAATCAGGTCGGGGCAATGGTATGCTTCATATTCCATAAATTGAACGTTTTGATAGGTTGCCATATCATGCATGTCATATTTAATACAGCCATATGTGCTGTACTTTGTTTTATATATATATATATATATATATATATATATACACACACTATTTTTAACTTGCTACTCTGGCTTGTGTCAGAATAAGCAGTCCGAGATCAAGTGTTGTGATGTAAGTGTAACATCTTTGCTGTCAAATGAAAAAAAAATCGGAATCACTTTGTTGCAAAAAACGTCCCACTTTTAACATTTAAAATGTCCTCATTGGTTAAAATGTTTTATCTTCAGGGAGCTACAGTTTTTGTGCTCGGTGGTGTTTTTTTTTTGTTTTTTTTTGTTTTGTTTTTTCTTTCTTTCTTTATCTGACATGAGTGCACAAAAATGGAAAAATTAGGCCCAAAAATTTTGACATTTTATTCTAACAGTCTGCCTCTGATTTTCTTCCTGGTATTTCAAGGTTTTGATTGGAGGAGTGGCTCAGTGGATCCCAATCCTTGGAGCTGGATGAGTGGATCGATTAGGACAGGGATAGGCAAGGATGGATGCTCGGAACGGGATCAGGTTTTCCAGGATTCAAATGAGTTTGATTTCAGAACTAATTAACAGGAGTCCCAGAGCAACATTTTTTTATTTTTCCCATTAGGCCCCCCCAATGCCTATTTAAAGTTTTTCATTGGTAATGGCTTTATTTTACAAGAAAACGAAACTGAGGACCAGGAAGTTGGATCAAAGGATGGAGTCGTAGATGCCTGGTATGAAGGAATTAAAAATTGGGGAGGTTGGGAGGGGGTTTCATGTGGGAGTAGTTTGTATGTTTGATTTTGCTTAATCTTGCTTTTTTTCTCTTAGCATTTTCAATAAAACACTTTCAAACGACAATACTTTAGTTTGTTTTTATTTGAAACCCAAATGTCGATGTATTAATCATTTGAAAGCTTCTTCCTTAACATAATAGTTACAACTTAAGCCCAGCACATTCCTTCCTCTATTCATAACCACTTCATTATCTTTAATAAGGAATTAAATGATGATATATTGGTAAACCTGAAACCAATAGAGCAGAAAATTAATTTGCATAAAAGCATCACTTTCAAATATGACACCAACGCAGTAGCAGCAGTCCACATGTTCAGTATTCACATCTCCAGTGTCTCATCTGTGACGACAGCTGATGAAAACCCCTTTTTACACACACACACACACACACACACACACAGCCAAACGATGCCTGCTCGTGGCCAAGGTCTCGTTTCCTTTTTAGCCCACACTCGGTGGTGTATACTGTGAATGATGCATTGTGGGATGAAATAAGATGCCGGCAGACAGGAGCTGGAGAAAAAACGCTTGCAACACACAGTGAGGCTGCAGCTCAGCCAATGGCAGCGTGCAGCATGCGGCAGAGGGGCGGGGAGCTGTTGGAGCGCAGCAGAGAGAGCCAACCTACCTACATGCTTATTGTGTAAATCTTTAAAAAGCAATTAGCCGCAGCATCATCTGAACCTCCACCCCCTCCACTGGCTGGGTGAAATACATATTTATTTTGGGAAATAATTGTTTTCATTCGGCTCAAGAAAAGGTGAGTTGCAGATTCCTTTTTGTGAAAAAGATAGACTTGCATGTCATGACATATTTCTGATCCGAGTTTCTCTTGTGATGTTGAGCTTCTTATTTTTTTACTGTATGGCTTACTGTATTTCGACTGGTATGATGTAGACTGCTGCCATGGATAACAGCAGGTATATATATATTTTTTTTTTGCCTGAGCACACAAGTAATCAGATACATCTTGATACTTCTGGTCTCCTGATGCACGAGCTGCTTTTATCGGAAAGTGATTTTGCCAAGTAATATAACTCCACCTGTATCAAGTTTCGCAGCCAATCTATGCAACACCCAAGTCATCGTTCCGACATAACACACGAGCGCAAGTTCCGATGATGAATCAGTGCACATGTTGAGGGGTAAAAACACGGTGTCAAACGACCGTTCTTCTGCGTATGAATGATGTTTTTTTTGCGATGATCCGGCTGGCCTAAACTGTCCCCATCATCGCCCCACGTGCGGTTATTAATTTCCAGTGCGGTGAACGGGCTCCTTTTTTTTATTTCTTCCTCAGGCAGGCATCCTCCTCCTCCTCAACCATGACTGACAGGAAAGCTGTGATCAAGAACGCAGACATGTCCGAGGACATGCAGCAGGACGCGGTGGACTGTGCCACCCAGGCCATGGAGAAGTACAACATAGAGAAGGACATAGCAGCCTACATCAAGAAGGTGAGACAGGACGGCTGCATGGACGCTTACATCACTGGCACACGAGCCGCACATTCAGAGCCCGTTTTTTATTCCCACGTCTATTTTTGTTTCAATGTGGAGACGAGGCGCTTGTGATCAGGGCCGTAGCCAGGATTTTTTTTTATCAGGAGTTCACAAGCCCCCCCCCCTTACACACACACACACACACATATATATATATCACACTCAAGTGTTTGTATTGTTCATATTTTATGTTGGTTGATATCACAACAGGAATGTCTTACACTAGAACAGGCAATCAAAAAATATATTAAAAAGTACAAAACTTGATAATGGACCTAAACCATATTTATCAAAAGCCAGTCTACATTTAAGTTTATGTTTGATGCTGTAATGCTTTTTCAAAGCCTTTTGAATATAACTATATCATGATTTTGATTTGCTTCCCCCTGGGATCAATAATTATTCTCTTATTTATTTATTCATTGGCCTAATAGTTTACCCCCAAATTCCAAGAATGAAAATGATCAACTTTTTCATAACTGAATAATAATTTCAGTCATTTTCCAATCAAAAACACCAAATCTTTGCGAGCGAACGTTGGTTCGGATAAAACGAGCCGTTTTGAAGATATCCTCAATGGTGCCTACGCCCTTGATCATGATATGTAAGCCAGATTTTGTAGATTGCAGCCATTGGTTTTTGTTTTAGATTTTTGTTTTTTTGCTTACACTAATCGTCTTCTTTTGACCTTTTTCAGGAGTTTGACAAGAAGTATAACCCCACCTGGCACTGCATCGTCGGGAGGAACTTCGGCAGCTACGTCACCCACGAGACGAAGCATTTCATTTACTTCTACTTGGGCCAAGTGGCCATCTTGCTCTTCAAGTCTGGCTGAGAAGATTCTGATGGGTGTTTGCTCCCTGAACCTAGATCGGAAAATGCACTGGTGGCTGATGTCTCCCATACACTAATAACGACATACCATAACGATGCAAACCCAGCCGTGCGCAATTGCATGGACTATACACTATTTAATATGTATGTTACAGTAAGTTTACTTTTCGACGGTTGCCATTTGATTGCAACTGAAGTAGTTTTTGTTGATGCTGTTAAATTCTAGGTTGTAAACGATTTCAACGTGGCCCTTGATTGTATAATAAAGGAAAGCTGTAGAATGTAGTGGTGCATCTGCTTTCCTTCACAAGTGGCATCGCCAGACCCTGTTGTGAGACTCCATCTGTCGGTTTAGATGGTAAAATCGTACTGCGTGCACCAGTTTAACAATTCATTATCAAGATATTAACGTGTGATCATGAAAAGAAGTTGAACAATGGGGCAAAATAGTCTTCAGATGGTGAGTTATTTCTCGGCCTTCCTTTGGTTTCCACGTAAACAAACGGCATGGGTTCAGTTTATTACTGCTATTTTACTCATTTAAAGGAATTATGTTGTCTGGACATGCAAATGCAAAACCTTTTAATCTTTTCAATTTGGATTTTAAATAACATATCCAACGGATTTCAGACAAAGATGTCACAACATCCGACAAACTTGACATTTTGGACCGAACACAAGCCAGTGCACACATTTCCAGGGGTGTTTAGTTTTCACTGTGAGGGACGATGGAGCAAAGGAAGCTCACAAACACAGACCTTAAGCCTGTAATGTCCGAGTAACAACACTGCAGACTGGTCACCAAAATCTTCCAACTCATCTACCTAGATTTTATTCTTGTAATCTGTGTTTCTGCATGTTTGGAGGATAATTAACACCATTTCTTTAACTGTCATCAAACACAAACCTAAGCTCACCTTGAAGCGGAATCATTTATTTAACTTTTGAGTATGTAGATATTGGACTGAGCTTTAGGAACATCTGCAGTCAACTCCACCGATGCTAACAACACCCGTGCGTTTCAGATGGTCGTGTCGTCACGTGTTGCTTGTGATACTTTCAAGTTGCATTTACCATCAAACATTACTTTTTTTAAATTTAATTCTTTTTTTTATGTGTACTGCCGGACAAGCAGGAAATACGACACATTTAAGAGTACTTCTTAAAGCAACTGGAAGGAGGCGCATCTCTTGTCTTGCGCACTGATTTGAGGTTTCCTTTTTGTCATGTCGGCATAATTAGTTTGACAGGGCAATGCATGTTTGGATGCTTTAAGAGGGCCGGTTGGAAGGATTCAGTCCATGGAGTTGGTTAACACCGCACATTTCTCGCTATGTGTAAAGACAATGTTTTCAGTTGCTAACTCCCATAATCCAACAATGGGTAAAAATGTGTATCTCAAGTGTTAGCTTGGATTGACATCGAGGGACGTCTTCCTAACTGTTGTCAATGTAAACTGATTTAGTATTGTTTTCCTCTGGCATGTATTTTTGCTGTGTACGTGTAGGAGCTGTTCCACTGCTGTTACATTTGCACAAAACGTGTGCCTGTCATTGCTCTCAACTGTAACCGGCTTGAGTACAGTTGCACTTCATTAGAGTTACCCAGTAGGTTGCTACAGAACCAAAATCGTATAAACTCGATAAAATAAAAAAATAATAATTGTTGACTTATTACAGAGTGAGCTTTTTTGTTGTCGTCCCTTATTCGTCCCAGATATACGCCACTTAAATGTCTCTTCAGTGAATATGAAGCTAGCACCTGCAGCTTGTTAGCTTAGCACAGAAATTGACAAACAGCTAAAGATATAAAAACAAAATGTAACTAATTAACTAGTGAGCTTAAGAGCCGCTGGTATAGCTAGATTATTTTGTAACCTTTGGGCAGACCCAGGCTAGCTTTTCCCCATTTCCAATCTTTATGCTAAGCTAGACTAACCGTTCATATTTACTGTAGAGACATGAGTGGTATCGATCTCGTCATCTTTAACATTATTTCCAAGAATGTCAAATCAGTCATTTAAAGTGAGGGTATGTATCTTTTGCTAAACAGCTTTACTTTCTACAATTATGTTATGCTAGCACCTGCTAAACTGGCGGAACAGTACCATACTAACTCAAGTGAGTTTATTTATCTTTTCAAACTGTTTCCTGTATTTCCTGATTTCTTATGATTTCAACTTTTCATTTGTCATTTCCTTTTTCCAATGTTACACTGTGTCACTTTAAGTCTACCTTAAAGCAAACATTGTCACAATTGACCATTCTCGCTTCTCCAATGTCAGATTTAGCATATTTTCTCTTTTTTTTTAAAAATATACTAACATCTTTCAAGTTTTGGACTATTGAAGGCATTACTGATAGCTGATGGTTCCTCCAATGTACAGATGATAGGTTACTCTTCTGCACTTCCAAACAGACCTTGAGACATAACCTTCCAATACAAAATGCTGCCATAATGGTTTCACTAGTTGTCCGGTTACATTTTATGCCAATTCTAAAATAAATCACTACACAATGGACAACAAAATGCCACAACAGTAATCCATAAAGTGCAATCTCAAAAAGATAAACAGATGAACACACTACGTAGGTTTCAGTATTCATGCGTGGAAGCTGCAGGGCACAGAGTATGTTTGTAGTGTTGGATTCATGTTTACTCTGAATAACTGTAGCTCAAGTGGTCTGGTGTGAAAAACAGTCCATAGCAACAAGTGTGTGAGACCTTTGCTCAGAGATGAGGAGCACAAACCACGTAACCGTGACATCAGTCGCTGTAGTGTTGTGCTGGTTACCCATACGGCTCGCAAAAACACTCGGCTGCTCACCACTCATCTGTGTGATGCACTGATGCTGCGTTCAAGTCTCTTCTTTTTTTTTTTGATTCCCACATTTCCCGTATTCTGAGTAATTTCTTAAAGGGGCACTCCACGGATTTAAATGTAATATGTTTGCTGCATACAGAGTATTGATTAACAGAAAACCCAGTTTGCCCGTCTAGTTAGTGGACAAGGAATTATGGTGCTGACCATGAACCGCAACATAAAATACTATAAAAATGTATTATAGAATCTAGAAAATCACTCCGATGGTGAGTTTTGACAGAAAACCTGCAAGTCTTTCATTGCCTAAACCAGGGGTTTGGAGTTAAATAAAAATGAAGAATGTTGGTGTTTACCAGGCAGGAAGGGTCTAACAAAAAGGGAAATGTAGCATCCAACTATATTCTACTAGACCCATAAGTAGCGAGTAGAAATCATATCTCAGCCTCTGTAGAATAAAATGATCACGTTCTATCTATATTATCTCTCTTGCAAACCCCCAACATATGGAAGTAAAATACTACATTACAGGAATAAAACTTTAAATCCAGATCATTACATGTTGGAATTATCAGCCACATTCAGACAAATCAATAATAGTTTTGCTTCTCAGTTGCATCATCCCAATCCTGGTAGAAATGCTTGTTTTGATTTATTTTCCCATACACAAACTAGTGGTGTCCAACAATGTGCCATCCAGAGCCATGTTTGAATACTACATCAGCTGATTTTACTGACAAACAAACCTCCAGTCAGGGTGAACTCTGAGAGCAGAGCTGGTGCTGTTTGGCTGGCATAAAAAATCTGTGTCGAAGTGGCTGCAGACGACAAACAGAAAACAGAAGTGGGGCCTCAGTTTCAATCCAGAGATTGTGTGTCAGGATCAGGGCTGATGTAATGGGATACATTTCAATGCGATGCAAGTAAAGGAAAAATTACGGAGTATATGTTTTCCTTCAGTACAGCATACATCATCCGAGACGTTTTATTCAGTTTCAGTGTCGCAGCAGTTGTTTTTTTATTGACTAAAATCAGCACGGGTAGAGTGTGTCATGCCTTGAGTTTGTGCTGAAGTTATCTGAAGTCTGTAAGTGGAAATCTGCAGGAACAAGAGCATGCCGGGCCAGTAGAGCTGAGGAAGCAGACAAATTAAAGGACAAGTGACTGATGAATAATTTCTAGAGACAGACTGAGGTCAAAGTGGGTGAAATGAGACACTTTGTGGAGTTAACAGGAACACTTTGCCTAAATATTAGAAACGCTTTTTGCAGTTCCCACATCTACATGGTTTTGAAGCTCAAAAAAATAAATCATTTCAACACATTAATGTCCTGGGATTCACTCCCTTTGGTGAGTGAAATAAATATGGATTCAAAGCTTTTATTCAGCCTGTTTAACAGAAATACTGAATACTTAAAAAAAAGACTAGGTGCAACATAACGTTCTTGTGTTTGTTCATTCACACTTTAAAACAGAAGTGCGTCAGAGGCTTGTCTGCTGTTACACCAAACCTTCACTGACGTGTTACACTCCTGAATATCCCCCCCCCCCACACACACACACACATACCTGCCTGCTTCTCTTTCATACTGTAGCATCTGGCTGCCTTCATCCATCTTCCCACACGGAGCTGTAATTCATGGTCAGAGCACATTCACATGTAGATCACACACACAATTGACTGGGCGAAGAAATGCCAGGTTTAACCATAAAGTTGAATCATTAGATGATAAAAATTCAGTGTATGTTTCTGGCCTCCGGCCTTGACATTTACAACTGACTGAGATTAATCAGATTGTTGATTAATAGTTCCTGATTTGGTCAGTGGAAATTGTAAATTTTCTGTTTTTTAACTGATAACTTTATTATGGTGTAAAAGCAAATCCAGCTTTTCACATACTGTTCAATTCGCATCACACTGAGACATTAATCCAAAGGTCCTTTTATTGCAATATATTTTTATCCTTGTGCTCTCAAACTCCTCTGTAGCTCCTCACATGCTCGGTCTGAAAAAAACATTTGAATAACCTGAATTGCACCAAACACACTGTTGTTTTGGCTCAGGCCAAAAATACCCTCCTGCTTTGTTTGCTCTCATTGATGTGGTGAATGCATGTGCTCTGCAGATGCCTCATAGTCTGTGAGATGACCAGTGGGCGGAACTAACACCGGCATTGCAAGGAGGCAAATGACTCAGACTCAAACATCAGGGATGTCAATAAAAAAAAAAAAAAGGTGCCACATTAATATGTTAATTGCAGCAACATGGACCACCACGATGAGATGGTGTGTAGGTTGAAGTACACGTTATTGTCAGGGGGAATCAACTTTGCACACGTCATTGCATGAAATTCCTTTTACACTCACAAACGCATCAGGAGCTATTATTTATTTTTCCGAGGACATACAGCACACATGGGGAACAATGGAGATATGACAAAGAACACTTCCTTGCTTTATCTGCCTGCATTGTCTCTGTTCAATGCTCATTTCCATTGGAAGATGCAAAATGAAGGTACAAAGTGGGAATACTGTAGAATGTGTGTAATATTCTTCACCTAACCATGACGATATGAGAAGGGCCATGGTGGTTAATGAGAAAACATGAAATCACATGATTTATATATAATATTTATCATATATAAATCACATGATTTATATATAATATTTATCATATATAAATCATGTGATTTATATATA